GCTACCACTAGGAAACTATTGTTGTATACATTAAATAAGTTTATGACTTTGTAAACAATAAATAGATGCAAGGAAGCATCCTGGCGAACACTTGAACATGCCACAATGACATGGGAGTAAGGCATACAAAAGGCTTGAAATTTTCTACATTCGTACCAACCTATATGTAGTTCGACCTTGTAGTATACCTTTGGTTTCCCCTCATTGTTGTTCATTGTATCGTCTATATTGAAACTGTATATATAACAGTCAAATCTTGTAACCACATGTGTGTTAGCATTAATAGTTTCCTCCTTCATAATGTTCATTAAACTTTCACTAAACAATTGTTCTGATTTTAACAATGAACTCCATTTTTCACATTTGATTGCAAACAGTGATCCCAACCTAAAATAGGTTGCTCTCACCAACGTAGTTATGGGTAGGTTTCTAATGCCTTTAAAGACAGGGTTCATTGATTCCACAAGGTTTATTGTCATGTTGAACCATCAGCAATCCTCTTAAATTTCCTTAGTACACTTCTCCACTAGAATATTATCGACCCAACTTAATGCATCCTCATTTGACAATCTAATTTCTTTGCGGTAGTGTCTGAATGATTACTGATTTAAAGCATTACCCCGTGTTTCACAACTTTTTTCTGAAGACTCTTGTCTTTGATTTCCTGCATGAAGTTTTATGCAGTATGTCTAGTGCAAAGAAAGACATATCTACATTATATGGATGTGTCGTTTTGCTCCAAGCATGGGGTTGGTCAAGATTTCCATCCCTAGCGCCTGTCAACCCCAACAGCGTCACATTCCCATACACAAAAAAGTAAGTTAATAACTTTATTTCCATTTACTTACTTTACCCATTATTAATTCTAACTAATTTATTTTAACTTTTTTAGCTTAAGTGGTTCACCCGTAGGATGAATTACAATAGATGCTCTAGAAACTACATCACTCAATATCAAAATCTCTGGGATCACCTAGCACCGAACGATCTACTTCCACTAAACTAATCATTTCATAATAATTTTTTTAAATTTAATCATTAAGTATTCTAATTTATTTTTCCTCTATAGTTTATTTGAAGGTCATATATGAATTTGGAACATCATCATGAAAGTAATGAAGAAGATACGGTCGTTTGAACTAAAACAACACTGATCATTAGATTCACCATTATGGAGATAAACCATAGTGACCGTAACTGCATTTCAACATGTATAGAAATCCCATATCTCTCGAGGTGCCTCGAAAAATGGCATCAATATAAGGACTCATAACAATGGAACTTTGACGATTGGAAATTCATTGTTAAAGTTGAGTTTCGTCAATGGAGGTGTCATCACCAACGAGTCTTAACCGATGTTATCATGCCAACCGAAACTAAACCAACTCATATATATATATATATATATATATATATATATATATATATATATATATATATATATATATATATATATATATATATATATATATATATATATATATATATATATATATATATATATCAGTTAGATCAATTACAATTGAGTTTGCTCCAAAGATATGTATTTATACGATCCACGCTAATCCACTTACACACAAAAAGCTTCAACATCTAACCACCAACAAAATTATCAAACCACTTACGCGTAACAAAATTACCAACCTACAACCAATACATGTCACACACCCAACCACAAAACCAAGAACATACCCCATACCACCACCACCAATATAATTATTATCAAAACACCCAAAAAAAATTTCGCCAACACACTCTCCTACCATAGCCAAAACATCCAATAAACATATGACACCAACACTTCCTACCATAGTCAAAAGACTCTAACATCACAACACCAAAAACATCCAACAAACATATGGCTACCAAACACCACAACAATCATTTCTTCCTTTCTACAACAAAACATTCACGCCAAGGTCACCATTCAATCGACCAGACCGCTCACCAATAACCCCGTCAACCCAAACAATACAACCCAACTACAACGAAATGGGCAATGAACTTAGTTCGACAGTCGTCAATGAAGCCACAGGTCTACATAGAATTACAAGAACTTATTTGGGAATTTGGTGATGGTGATGCTCCAGAGACCTCTATCAAAAACCTTGGGTAAGGGGTGTTCGCGGGCCGGTTTGATTTAGTTTTTAGAGAATTCGATATCCAAACCGATCAAAAATATATGGATTGGTTTGAATTGAATTTTCATATTTTTTTGATAAAATACAAACCGAACCAAACCAAGAAATAACAGGTTGATTTGAGTTGGATTGACCGGATACATTAGAAACAAATGTGCAAAAATATGTTTAAAAATATCTAATTTATATCAACTAATTTTCCATAATAATATAAAATTCTTAGTTTTTTTCTTTTCTCTATATAGTTGGTGAATGTCACAATTATCGTTTCATTTTTTTTTCTTCTTGAAGTTGAATATCTTATACTAATTTTTATAATAATAATGAAATAAATTGTATGAATTAATATGGTTGGTTCGGGTTGATGGGCTCACGGGTAGAATTTTTGAAATCTGTTGCCCGAAAGAATTAGCGTCGAGTTTAATTGATTTAATTTGGTTTTTGCCCAAACTAAAAAAAATATCCGACCCAAACACCTTGATTTGGTTTGAATTCTGGTTTGATTCGGATTTGTTCAAACCAATAAACACCACTATCTCAGGTGAATCAACAAGAACTTGTACGAGAAAGTATACTTAAAGAGTGTGAAACCGATAGCATGTACGATCAAACAGATCATTATCGTTAGTGTAAAAAATATTCTTATATGTAATCTAATTTAAATTAAATATTATTAGTTTTTATTCAGTTTTATTAATTAATTAATTATGTTAAAAAAAATATTTAACACATAAAAGTCAAATAAATTGACGTATCTTCTTAAAAGTAATATATATGCGTCAATTGAATTGATTTGGCCTATAAAAATGCAATTCAATTGAATTTATATATATTCATTTTTTTTTTCAATATATCTTTTATCAGTTCCACACATTCATCTTAAATTATAAAATATAACTTTGAATGAATTCTTTCACAAAAAATAATATTAAAGTTGTATCCAAATTATAGATATTAATTATACAACTTTTATTATTATGTAATACTACAAATTATAGATATTAATTATACATAACTTTTATTAATTAGAAGGATCAATCTAGTATGAGATAATAGCATATACTCCATGAAAGATATGACTGTTTAAAAAATGCAATAGACGATATCAATCATTGAGTAGAATCAAATATTTATAATTAAATATTTAAGTACTCTTGAAATTGAAGATGGTGGTGGGGGGTTTTTAAAAGAAGTGAGAATAAAATGAAGGATTAAAAAATTGTTGTTGTTTTTAAATATTTTAAATTTTGTTTTTAATTTTTTTAATTTTTTTTAAAAAAATGATCTTTCTAACAAAATCGTAGCTAAAATAGTTTTTAATTATTCGTTAAATAAAAATCGACGCTAAAACTGTTGTCAAAATCATCGCTAAATTATAAAAACCGTTGCTAAATTGTAGGAGAGATCAAAAGTTAATTTTTTTTTTTAAAATGATCATTTTTTAATGAAAATTTTAGAGGAACTAAAAACGAAATTTGAGATATTTATAGGAACCAAAAATTTATTTAACTCTAGAATCAATTGATTGATTATTGATTATGATAAGAGGAAGAAGACAAAGGGAATTTGAAGGATCCGATGATACCTTGCCACATATGGATTTCATGGAGGAAGAAAGAGAAATCAAATCTTGAAAAATGATACTCACTCCCTCTCATAATAATTGTCTCATTTGAATTTTGCGTGGTTCTTAAGAAAATTATTAAATATATTAATTTTAATGATAAAATTAATACTCTCTCTGTCTCACAATATGTGTTCTCTTTGAGATTTTCACATTTTTTAAGATAATGATTAATTATGTTGATTTCAATGATAAAATGGTTTTGATTTACTAAAATAACCTTATTAATAATAAATAATGGAGTAGTTATATGAATTAAAATATAATAAATAAAGTAAAATAATGGAAAGAAATAATAAATATCACATTGATATTCTAAATGAATAAATAATTTGAAACAAATTAAAATAGGAAAGAGAACATCTATTGTGAGACAGAGGGAGTATCATTTAATAAAATATATTTATTTATTATAGTTAGTATAGTAGTTGAAAAATGTGTAAGCTAATAAATAGGAGCATAGAAGTGGAAAAAATAAATAAATGTTGTATTGGTATTCTAAAGAAATAATTATTTTGAGACATAGAAAAAGTGCAAATGAGACATTTATTATGAGATCAGAGGGAGTACTCTCTTTGTTTCAAAATGACCTTCATTTAAGATTTTTGTATACAAATTAAAAAATATAATAATATTGTCGTAAGATATTTCACTTTTATAAAATTAAACTTATTAATGTATTAGAAGTAGTATTCTGAGTAAAAAGTAAATAATATTGAAAAAATGACAATTATTACTATATTGAAAAGTAAAAATAATAATTATTTTAAAACAAATTTTATTTACTTAAATGACATTTTGAAATGGAAGGAATATAAGAAATTTGAAAGGGATAAAGGTGAGAGAGTAATCTCTTCTTCTAAACAGTTAGCTAATTACATTACATTTCTAGGTTTGTTAAATGATTAATATGTCTGATCTAGATTATAGATCACATATATTAATTATTTAATAAATCTAAAAATGTGAAGAGTCTCTTATAAAAGATACTTAGACAGAAATAGTTTATTGTGCAAGTTATGACTACTCAATTTTAGTTCTTAATACTCAATTTTAGTTGAATAATAGTTTATGCCATTTATTAACATTTTCCTTATTTAAAACTAGCATAGTAGCACCATAATACACGTTACTAGTTGGTTTTATTTCCATCTCATGTAATCTCAATTATATTTAAAACCTTGCTGATAGTTATCTATTTGTAACAAACCAAGCTAGTAGCTAGTTTAATCTCCATGGATTCTCAAAATTTTGACTTATTACCCCTTGTCTCCCTTTTCCTCTTCATCCTTGTGGCGCTAAACATTGCAAGGAATCTCAAGAAAAAAACCTCATCTCCAAACCTACTACCAGGACCATGGAAGCTACTTATTATAGGACACGTATAGGACACATACTTATTATAGGACATGTATAGGACACATATGTTAGTACGTGAAATACTTTTAGTGAGGAGAGAATAATAAAAGAAATAAAGATTTATATTATTCAAGTGTACAAATAATAATACACACACTATGACTATTTATATACAATCTTAATTGGGTTTGAGCTAACACAACTTAGATTATATTAAATATTAAATCTAATCTAATCTAATCTAATCTAATTTAATATTTCAACAACATACACGTCTAGTTATCTCAACACCACATAAAAAACTAAGAGACTTGGCCAAAATACATGGACCCTTGATGCAACTACAGCTTGGAGAGATCTTTGCAGTTGTTGTTTCCTCACCAGAGTATGCTAAGGAGGTACTTAAAATCCATGATATTAAATTTGCATCTAGACCTAAGATTCTTGCTGCGGAAATATTAACATATGGTTGCACAAATATTTCATTTTCACCTTATGGAAATTATTGGAGAAAACTCAGAAAAATATGCACAATGGAGCTTTTAACGCAAAAGCGTGTGAGTTCATTTCAGCCCATAAGAGAAGACGTGTTCATGAATCTCATCAAAAGGATTGATTCACAGCAAGGATCGGGATCCGCCATCAACATCACTCAACTTGTGGTGCTTTTGCTATTATTACAAAGGCTGCACTTGGCAAGAACTGCAAAGTGCAAGAAGAGCTTGCGTGTTTGGGAAATGGAGAATCTGTTGCGGGAGGTTTTGACATAGGTGAACTGTTTCCATCTGCTAAATGGCTTCAAGTTGTTTCTGGTTTGAGGCCGAAACTCGAGAGGCTGCATAGACAAATTGATGAGTTGCTAGTAAAGGTTATTATTGAACATAAGGAAGCTAAGTTGAAAGAAAATCAAGGCCAATGTGGTGAAGTAGAAGAAGATCTAGTAGATGTTCTTCTAAATTTTCAGTGTGGTAATGATAGTTTGAAAAAGGGGTCTAGAGGGTATATAGAATGATTAATGTCATAATCCTCTCTAAAATTTTGTTTCCTTCTTTCTCTTCTAACTATATTTTTCTATTGTACTATTCCTGCTTTGTTAAAAGTTAAATTGCTGCAAATTATAAAACAGTACAACTCCATTCTATTTGTTTGCATACTCAGTACACAATGATAATTGAATTCTGTTAACATTTGAAACTATCAACTTTAACATTTTTTGAATGAAACCAAGGGAGTACGTTCCAAAATACAAAAAGAATGGTTGAATCATTATCACATATCCATGTTTTTTTTTATCATCATCATCACAATTATTATGCATTATTACTGGTCGTTGCATGATTCTCTGTCGTGGGTCGTGGGCCTATAGAATTATTAGAGCTCTTTCTGTACCAAAGGAAATAATAATAGAGCTCCTTCACTCATTATCATTATATTAGCATGATTACTACTGTTCATTCATTGCATGTTAAGGATTGCACACTAGAATTGATTTTCTTTATAACGTGGCATTACAGCCACATATACACCACACCTGTTCTCTTTCCGACTAATGCTACACCAACCAAAAAGTGTGGTACATATATTTTGAAATTCAACTATATAGCTAATATATGGGTCCGTTGGTAATTGGCAGTATTAATTTGATAGAAATAGGCATGAATTGGCTTATGAGGGATAAATTCTAACCACTAAAATCATACTTTGTCATTAGCGAAATAGTATTCTTTTTGACCGGTTGATTTTGCGATGGATTATTTTTAGTGGTTTCTCCATAAGATTTCTCTTTGGTCGATGGTGTTTTGGTCCGGTTGCAAATGCCATGTTGGGACCCGGGCCCAAAACCTAAGGGAGGCCAAACATGGCAAATACAAAGCAAGTGATTACCCGTAACTCCTTAAAGTAAAATCATAGTAGATATCAAATTCTTCATACGACCGTCTGCATTTTTCGAATTCCCTTCAGATTTCAGTTACAAACAAACTCCTCTATAAAAAGAAATGAAGTGTGTCATTTTGAGGTATCTCAACTTCCATTTGAAATTTCACTAATCACTTCATCCATTAACTTGAGTGTTGAAGTGTTAATCTTACATGTTAGCTCCGTTCATCGCATCGAAACCAAAGCTCTGTCGTAACAAAATACTCAGATCAACTTACCCGATCATTATCTTGTTCATGAACCGAACATTGACGTCGTTTGTGGGAATTGAAATTGAATTCATGCGATTACCATGATTTATTAATCACAGATCACACTCTATTACCCTTAGGACGCAAGCATGCGCTTCCAATCAACTTCAGTGAATATGCAATCAAACTCACCATAACCGTCAAGTAATGACACTGTCAAAGGTTAATCGTTCCACTGCTCATTGATTGGCTGCAGCAACGTTCGACACAGTCAAAAATCGTCTTCCACCTACTCCTCTTGTTCAAAAACCAAATCATGTGCAGATAGAAACGATTAGGGAGCTCATCAACATCCCTCGATCATAATAAGTGCTCAGTAGTTCCACGTGGAAGGACCAACCAACCGACCAGGCACATCTTCCTCAATCATCGGGCGCGAAGCACTCCCTAACTTCCCATTCTTGGAGGCCAACCTAGGACCAAAAGCAGATCATGAATTGTTGAACGCCATGTTCAGAATGATTCAACGGCAAATTCCTCAAGCGACCGTTAACAGACTCACTCGGATAGAAGAGAGTCTAAAGAACGATGTACCAAAAGATTGTACCATTCAAAAAGTAGTTTCGCAAAAAGTCATGGAGGCGGCGAAAGGTCGGGAAGAATTAGCTTCGAATTTCATATAGTACAATTCTCCTTCTCCCTCTTGTATTTAGAGTCACTTGGCCAACAAGTAGCATTAGAGTCTAACTCATATTATAAGAGTCATCCTAGAAAATAGTATGACGACTTCAAGTACTTCTTATTTTAACAAGAAACTTTTCTTAAATACTTAGATTGTTTGATGGTGAAAGATTTAACATATGAAAAGAGAGAATAAAAATGTTTTTTAATTGAGTTGATTGTTATCTATGGAATTATATTGTAAATGACCCTTTTATTCCTACTTATTCTTTTTATAACGGAGTACTAAACAAACATAGAAAAATATGGACCGCGGAAGATAAGAGAAAAGTGCAACAAAGATTTCAAGCTAAGCGCTTGATGACAGATGAGTTAAGTACTAACTAGTGCTATTATGTTTTTAATTGTAGCACAACTAAAAAAGTGTAGGACATCCTTAATGAAATTTATGAAGTTCCAACTAAGATGAAAAAGGGAAAAGCACATGTCTAGGAAACTAAGACACCAATTTAAAGTGAAGATAATTTTCAAGGATGGTTCTCAAATTTTAAAATTCTTGTAATTAATCTCAAAAATTGTGTTCCTAGTGAATATATAAGATCTAAGATCTGTATTAGAAACCTAATTCAGCACTTGAATACAAAGATACAAAAGTTGTTAATAATTTTTAAAAGAATATTGATCCAATTTTCTAAAGATGATAAAAAAATCAGATAAAAAATTAAGATACCTATGAAGAATCATCATTAGAATTATATGATGAACATTTGAAACATCTTCACCTAAAATATCATATGAAAGAACTATAATAATTTATCAAGGATATTCTAAAGAATCAACATAATAAGAATCATATGAGGAGGTTTACAAATCATACAAGAAGTTTACAATAACATGAGAATTTTCAGTTGGAGAAACATATGAATCATCATTCAAGGATTTATTCAAAAACTCATCTGAAGATTTTCATGAAGAACATTTCAAAGAAGAAGAAGAAGAGGTAGAAAATTTTCTTAAAGGTACTTATAATAAAGACAATGAGGTAACTACTTTATCCTACAAATAATTAGTTGATTTAAGTGTCCAGCTTAGTAAAATAAATGGCCATCTTGAATGAAATATTGAATAATTTCATAAACATTTTAACCCTATCGAAAATAAATATGATAGGATAAATGATTAAATGAATGCACTTAGAATACAAACCTTAAAATCAAATAGATGTGAAAAATGTGATGCGTTGAGAAATGAAGTAGATAGCTTGCATGAAATCTTAAGTTTATTAGAGGAAAAGATCACCTCAATATGATTTTGTCTAACCAAAGAGCTCCATATAATAAATTTGTCTCAGGTTATCAACCTAATAGTAATGTTAAATCACTTATCAATATTTGTCATGCTAAAAGTAAAATAAATCCCCCAGTTTATAAATGCAATTGCTATCATAAGCATGGTCTTATGGAATCATTTTTTCTCTTCAAATTGTCTGATTTAAGATGGTCAAAGGGTTATATATTGAAATACCTAGGATATATTAAATCCATTAACATTAAAGAAACCAAAATGTTTTAGATACCAAAGATTAAAAACATGATTTATTTTGTAGACATGCTTTGCAGCTTTAGAGACCAAAATTTCAAATCATGAAAAGGTGTGCAAAGCATGAGTGTAAACATTATTCAAAGAAAGGTGAACTATTACTCAAAAAATTCTTTAGAATTTACCTTTTTTAAAAAATATTCTTTTTGGAACCTCACCAAGGAGGAAATAATATTTAAAGATCGTCTCTCATATTAAACGATTCAGAGAGAAAATTTTGGCTGCGTTTTTTTGTAAAATGAAAATAGACCTCTTCTCAAAGTTCTCGTGGTTTTAAAGGAATCACTCATTAGATAATAAACTCAAAAAAATTGCAGTTATTCATCTAACAAGTGCTAAATTAATTAAAAAGTCCATTCAATTATTTTTCATTAATCAATTACTTGAAAAGTGAAGTTTTAGAAAAGGGGGTATGAAACCTAAGAAGAGTAGTTTCCAAAATCAAATATGGTCGCAAAGTCTTTCAACACCCAAACAAACCAAAAGAAGCTGAAAATTGCCATTTAATAGATCAAAATTATAGGGTTAATCGATTCGGCCTTTTGAAATTCAAATTTCGCTCCTTTTAATTTATTTACATAGGGTTTTAATCTATTAAATTTTGAAAAGTTATGCACTATCTACATCAATCTATTAGAATCAATGTCCAGTATTGATTTGGTCGACCAAATGATCATTTAATCGATTAAATTCAGTCTATAAATATATAATTTGAACTTCCTTTCTTATCATCCATCTTATAATCTTATCTCCATATTCTTGCATTCTTATGCTACTTTTTATATCATTATCATCCTCAATGACACCAAAAAGAGTCTACACCTCTACAAGTGCACCAACTCCAACCTATGTGTCTGATGAATTCTCATCCCAAGAGCAAGAGGAAAGATTCTATGAAAACTTTGCTGAAAAGAATAACATCCTTTCTCACTATGTAGATGAAAGTGTATGGAAAATTTGATTTTTTGCAACGTCTTTGTGCAAATTGATATGAAGAATTTCATGTCCAACAAACCAAAAGAGATGCTCACAAAGTTGGTGATGATATTTTAAGTTGACCTTAGTTATGAAGAAGAGGTTACTAAATTAGAGGTATGTAAGCATAAAATCTCTCTCTGGAAGAATTTGTTATTGTATGTGATCTTATTTTCTCTGGGTATATCTACTATATCGATTTTCTGAATCTATTGATGACTTCCATTATTTTTCTACTTATCAATCTCATCTAATGGATCTAACTGCAGGTCACTGATTTACTTTTTGGCATGATTTTTGACTTCATTTATTCGCCTCATTCAAAATGTGGTGATCCATATTCTCATCCTAAGAAAATTCAATATTGGGAAAGTCTTCAAAATTGATGTGGTAATAACATGGCTACTAACTAACAATGTCAAAACCAATTGGGCTAGTGGGGTAGTATACCACATGATCGAATGTTGAAGGAAGGAAAGTTCTCGGTTACCATATGGTCACTTAATTACAAAGATTCTTACACATGTTGGATTCAATCTAGAATTGGAGGAATCATTAGACAATTCGGTCAAAATACATAGATGCAAGCTAGTTCATATGCCATTTGAAGACAAAAGGGGTCTTAGTA